CCCGGTTGGTGGCACCAACCGGGACTAAAGGTTAGGTGGCACCAACCGGGACTAAAGGTCTAACCTTTAGTACCGGTTGGTGCCACCAACCGGGACTAATGGGCATCGCACCCTTTAGTCCCGGTTCGTGGCACGAACCGGGACTAAAGGGTCCAGGTAAACCGGGACTAATGCCTTAGCCGCACGAACCGGAATAAATGCACCCATTGGTCCCGGTTCTGAACTGAACCGGGACTAATGGGCTTACCCGGCCTGGACCAAAGCCCCCTTTTCTACTGGTGACGGGGATTACATGTAATGCCCGACGGTCCATTGTAGTGTCTGACGATTTTTGCTACACCCACGGGGAGTATATGTAACGCCCGACGGTGAAATTTATTATTCGAAGAAAAACAAAACACTCATCTATAAGTGAAAATGGTTGACGGTACATGTGTGACACAGTTATTTGAGAGAAAAAAACCCTGACGGGGGATAGCAATAACCGGCAATTAACTTCGATTCTCGGTGATATGTTTCAATGTCCACATCGATAAACATGTGGAATGACCAATGTTTTATTCTTGATAATTCTCGTATATTTTTACCATAAATTAAGATCTAATATTATTATTGTAAGTGCATTATGTTGTTTTCACAATTAATATATAGGGATGCTTACAAAAATTGGCACTAAACAATAAAAATAGGATGGTTAAAAATTTTGCGCTTACAAAAGTACCATAAGGGGATAGCCCTTGAGAGTCGAAAAGAAGTTGTTGTCCCAACCACAAGCTATCTTCTTCGGCGGCGTCACCGCCCAGAGTAGTGCTCAACTTAGTCTTGTATATACAATGTCTAGGTCTAGGTTGGGCTGTCACTGTGTGGCATAGGGCATCTTGCCGTGGAGTATATTGCATGCCCACATTGAAACAGTGGCTGGAGGCTCATGACGCTTGCGGGCTTGGTGGTGCTGGTTGCTAGCATGCAACACCGGTATTTTCTTAGAGATTCGATATCTTTATGTAAGGGTAAATACACTGGCAGTCTTAGAACTTGAATGTGACGTGTGATGGTCTGTTTGGTGCATAAATTTATAAAATACATATTCTAGTCATTAAACTTGTATGGGCATGCAAATACGGTCACATTTCGGGTCACATTTCGCGTACGCGGGCGTATCTATTGCCTCTGTGGCACACTGTCAGCCACTGCAACCCTGCGTTTGTATAGAACTCCATATTTGGCGATATGTTCACAATGCACCAACCATATAATTGCAGGGTAGGAATAGTAGGGTAGTAAAATACACACTGCTAAAAATATATCATTAATTAAAATTATAGACATCTTGATATACACACTTTGACCGCATAACGCTCTAATATAAAATGTGGACCGAGGGAACTCATCTGGAATGCAAAACGAAACGTACATCTGCAACACTTTGTTTCATAACCAGATAGCTAGGTAGCAGGCGTCCCTGATTTCTCCTGCTTAGCCAGATAGCTAAGATGGGAAGTACCAATCGCCTCTGTTCCATTTCCCTGGCCGCCCCCTTCATCTTTGCTGTTCTGCTGCTCAACGCTGATCTAGGGTTGTGCGGCTGCTTCAAACGCATCTTCACCTTCGGCGACTCCATCACTGACGCCGGCAACTTCGCGTACACCGGGCGTAACAATAAGAATCCAGGTCCACCCTCTGTGCCCCCTTATGGAGAGACCTACTTCCACCGTCCCACGGGACGCGCCTCTGACGGGCGTCTCATCGTCGACTTCTAGGGTGAGTGCATATGCATGCATGTATGTATGTATATGTGTGTTCCAATCCAAATAGTCCGATTTCATACTAATGTTAGATTTGGTGCGTGATGTTCTGTCAGCGCAATCGTTGGGCCTGCCGCTGCTACCGCCGAGCCTGCCCAAGGAGAACACGGGCCAGTTCCCGTAGGGCGCCAACTTCGCCTTGTACGGTGCCACGGCGCTAAACCCGAACTTCTTCAAGAGGTATAACTTCGGGGTGCCGTTTACTTGGAGCCTCGACGATCAGCTGGATACATTCAAGAAAGTGCTCGCGCGGATTGCTCCGGGAGATGGTATGTAACGCATGCAAAAGCATACGTTATGGTCAGCTTATCATATTTTAATTTGGCAACATGTCTTCTTGGTCAACTTATTCCTTTTTTTTTCGTGATGACCAGCTGCCACCAAGAGTCTCCTGAGCGAGTCGCTGATCGTGTTCGGTGAGATTGGTGGCAACGACTACAACTTCTGGTTCTTCGCAGGACACGGCGGTGACACACACACACCCGAGCAGTACATGCCCGACGTGATTGCCCGCATAGGCGACGGCGTCCAGGAGGTGATCAACCTCGGTGCCAAGACGGTCCTTGTCCCGGGGAACTTCCCCATCGGGTGTGTGCCGGCGTACCTGAGTGGTAACAAGAGCAACAAGTCGGCGGACTACGATCAGTACCACTGCCTCAAGCAGTTCAACAAGTTCTCCCAAATGCATAATCAGTTGCTGAAGCAGGAAGTCAGCAAGCTCAAGTCGCTCAACGCCGACGTGAAGATCATCTACGCCGACTACTATGGTGCTTTCATGGAGTTCGTCAAGAATCCCAGTAGGTATGGCATTGACGACCCTCTGGTGGCGTGCTGTGGTGGCAATGGCCCCTACGGCACCGGCCATACATGCAACCAGACCACAAAGCTTTGCCCCGACCCGTCCAGGTTCGCCAGCTGGGACCAAGTCCACATGACAGAGAAGGCGTACAGCGTCATCGCCAATGGGGTGCTCAACGGCCCGTACGCCGACACACCGTTGCTAGCGCTCCACGTTTGCTAGGAAAATTCAGTTCCATCGTTTTGAGACTTGAATAATTACTGCGGCTGATGATACTTTGTAACATATGCGTACCAAACCGCGGGAAAAACAAAAATCAATAAAGACATATGCTATTTGCCAATCCGGTTTTAGATGTGGTCAGTGGCACAAAAGTATTATGTGTGACTTGATTATCTAAAAAAGTTCAAGTGTAAAAGGAATAAATAAGATCAAATTAAACACGCATGACACATAGAAATATATACCCTACGGGCTACATAGTAATGATTATATTTTTTCTGTTCATTATCTATTGAATGTTCACTAAACCTCATCTGGAAGACCTGGGCAACGGGGCAGGTGAAGTTCTTTTGCTGGCTCCTGCACCAAAACCGGCTGTGGTGCAACGACCGGTTGCAGAGGAGGGGCTGGGAAAATGCATACTTCTGTCAACTCTGCAATCGGAACCTCGAGACGTCGGTGCATCTCTTCTAGGAGTGCAGGGTGGCCAGAGATGTTTGGCAACAAGCAGCGACATGGAAGGAATGCGCCGCCCTGTGCCCAGCTGGATGGCCAGTGCCCAGTTCGACCACGGAGATGCTGACCATGATCACAAGCAACACGGAGCCGGGCGAAAGAAGAGGGATTCTGTCACTAACAGCCCTAATCTCTTGGCACATATGGCTGGAACGAAACCGCTGCACCTTCAAGAACAAGCAGCCAAGCGCCAGAGACATCATCGGCGCTGCCAGAAGTGACTTGGAGCAACGGCGCCTCGCCGGCGCAGCCTGCTTAGAGACCCCTTTCGGGGACCAAACGTGAGATAAACGTTTTTCTGATCTTTAAGCTAGTATGGGCTCCCCTAGTTGCTAGCCCACCTTTTGTTCTCACCTCTCTGCTACTGATCGCGTTCTCGATCAGTCAGCATTTTTTGTACTCTCCCCTCTGCTAAATCAATGAAAAGCCAGGCAATCTGGATCTTTCAAAAAAAAAAGTTCACTAAATAATATCATTTTTATTGATTGGCAAGTATGTGACTTGTTTGCCAAACTCTATGCTTGAATTTAGAGATTATTATGAACTACTCCCTGGTCGGAGTTCATATGTGGACACATATCATAGCAATATCTTAATCATTCTGAATCGTCCGATCTACGTAATTAATCTATCTTAACCTTACGATTTACGTTACGCCTGTGACGAAAAAATATCCAATCTAAACGTGAACCTGAGCCAACTTGCACATAACTAACATGTGAAAAACAATCAATATTGTCCTAAACAAATTCTCAAAAAATAAATAAATTACTAAACAAACAATGTTATATAGGAGTCTTATAAGAGTGCATATATCCTCCTCAAAATCACCACGTTCTCCTTTCACGCATAGATGCCCCCTCTTAAAAAAAAAGAAACAGGACCATCACCATGTGTCCTAGAAAAATACCGTCACCACGTTCCTCTCCTTTCACGCATAAATTCAATCTAATGCGCTCCGGCCATGCCTGTTTCCACAACCACAGTACGTAGTAGCTCCTTTTTTCTTGCCTCGAACAAAACCACAATCCAATTCTCATCCAAGAAAACTGGTGGCAGCTGCAGTTGATGCTGCAGATGGGTGTGCCATGCGGGAACTGCACAGAGTCTCCTGTGGTCGGGTTCCATGTGAGCAGTTCGACAGTGTCGCATGTGCTTGAAGCTGGGTGGGCCGCAAGCATCGCAAAATCCTGCACAAGAACTTGGCGCTGATCTCCTGTACGTAGAAGGGACGGTGACCACGCTCCAGGCCTCCAACTCTGGAGCCATTAGGATCCTTTAATGCCTTGGTTCACGTGAGGGGCTCAGCAATTTCGTGCTAGAGAAGCTTGGGCGGAACCTGGAAAGAGAAGGAGCAATCATTCTGCTTTCGTTTTTAGTTTTTGAGGTGAGACGGGAAGCACCGCTAGAGGTATGGATGATTACATACCCCATATCAAGAGAGCACCGATGGGATCGAGCAGTGTACCAAGGGGTGCAGAGTAGGCAAGCCGCGGCATCCTGCATCCTCATGTCTGCCCTTCCATATATTCTCAAGTTTGCTGGGATATTGTCAAGGATGATATCATGTCCTTGTTTAGACACTTTCATCGAGGGGCGTTGGATGTTCAAAGATTGAACTACGGGATCATCACTTTGCTCCCGAAGCTCTCTGGAGCTGACAAAATCCAACAGTTCAGACCTATTTGTCTGCTTCGTTGCCCTTATAATCTCATCACAAAAGTCCTAGATCGCCGAGTCTCGGTTTATGCTGACAAGCTAATTAGCCCAGTACAGAATGCTTTTGTCAAAGGTAGAAACATTATGGACAGGGTGCTTTCACTCCATGAAATCCTTAATTACACTCGTGTGAAGAAAAAGGTTGGGGTGGTGTTGAAACTGGATTTTGAAAAAGCATATGATAAGGTTAACTGGGAGTTCCTATTTGAATGCCACAAGTTGCGGGGATTCAATGATACCTGGTGTGGATGGATTAATCAGATCCTTCGAAATGGCACGGTTAGCATCAAGTTAAATAACAGTGTGGGGCCGTACTTCCAAAGTGCGAAAGGGGTGCGGCAAGGCGGCCCTCACTCCCCATTCTTGTGCCGAATGCCTCACGAAGATGATTAAAAATGCTCTGCGTAATAAGTTGCTGGTTGGCTTAGCTACGGATCTGATCCCTGATGGAGTTGCGGTACTTCAGTACGAAGATGACACAATTATCTGCCTTGAACATGACATCGATAAAGCAGTCAACCTGAAGTTGCTGCTGTATATGTTCGAAATGATGTCCGGGTTGAAAGTTAATTTTCAAAAAAGTGAAATTCTGACTGTTGGGGGAGACGATGTTGTGATTAAGCAATATGCCGACCTCTTCAATTGTGATATAGGCAGCTTCCCTATTAAATACTTGGGCATGCCTGTCAGCTATACTACCTTGAGAAACTCCGATTGGGAGTTCATTGTTTGCAAATATTTGAAAAGATTTGATGCTTGGGTAGGTAATGCTACCTCCATGGGAGGGAGACACACTTTAGTTGACTCTGTTGTCACTCAGATATCCTTGTATCATATGTCCATGTGGCTGATGAACAAAACGTTCATTGAGAAATTGGATAAACATAGAAGAAGATTCTTCTGGCAAGGGTGTACCAAAAAAAGAGATACTATCTCGTGAGATGGAATAGGATCTGCAGATCCAAAGAAAAGGGTGGTCTAGGTATTAAAGACCTGCGCAAGCAAAACATTAGTCTGATGGTGAAATGGTGGTGGAAGCTTGAAACTCAAAGTGGGTTGTGGCAAGACATCGTTCGCGCTCGTTACTTGCGGAATAGAACGGTAGCTGATGTTGTCCCAAGGTTTTCTGACTCTCCCTGTTGGAAAGCCTTACTGAAAGTCAAGGAAGTTTACATGACTGGTAGAAAGATCAACATCGAATCTGGAAACATTGCCAGGGTATGGAGTGACTCTATTAACGGACTGCTTCCGTTTAAAGAGCATTACTCTCAACTCTTTGACATTTGCAATATCCCTGAATGTACTATCAAACAAGTGCTGGATATGGATAGTGCTGCCTTTTTTAGAAGAAGACTCACTCCTGTGCTGGCTGAGCAATGGGGGGTTGTTTTGGATACCGTTAAAAATCTTCCTTTAAGTGACAAAGAGGATCGAGTGGTTTGGGGTCTGAACCAGAATGGTAAATTTAGTACCAAATCTGTTTATAAGTTGCTGGAGAAACCCCTCAGTGGGTGCCATTATAAATGGATTTGGAAAGCCAAAATTCCACTCAAAATCAAAATTTTTATGTGGCAACTTTCGCAAGATGCGGTGCTGACTAGACAGGTGATGCGCCACAGGAATTGGCCTGGGAACCCTGTTTGTTCATTCTGTAACGATATTGAGACTTCCCAGCACTTGTTCTTTACTTGTTCAGTCGCTAGGGTTGTGTGGCGATCTATTGGGGTGGCTATTGGTACTGATAAGTGTCCTGATAACTATTGGCAATTCTTTTCTTGGTGCTATTCCTTTCTTCCAGGAGGGGATACGTTTTATACTTTTGGTCTTGCTGCCACCTGCTGGGCGATCTGGCTTGCTCGTAATGAGGCTACCTTTGAGAAAAAGCAAATTAAGTCTCCCTTTGAAATTGTGTTCTCTATATGCTCCTTTCTTTTGTATTGGACAGGACTGCAAAAGGGTGATGACGCTGACAAGTTTTGATCAGGTGCCGAGGTGATCAGGGCCAGCACGATGCAGCTGATGAGACTTTGCGAGAACACTGCCCAGCTGATTGGAGGAGCGTGAAGATCGTGGTGAAGGTACTCTGCTTTGAGGACAGGACGAAGTGGAGTGTTCTGCGGGAAGGGCCATCTTCCTCATAGTTGTTCCGCCTCTTTTGTTTTGATGTTACTTTTGGTGTGTTGGCATGTAACCCTCTCTGGGTGTCGTGGGACTTAGCTCTCTGATGACTGTAGGTGTTATCAGGTTTTCGTCCCACAATGTTCGGGTCGACGGCGACCCGAATGGCAGTGGGTTTCCTGGTAATGCTTGAACTCGCCTTACCTCTTTCCCTCCCCTGACTCTGTATTCGGAACTGGTTGTATTTCCGTTGTTTGCAATGGAAAGGGGTAACGCCCGGTTCAAAAAAAATATATTCTCAAGGTTTTCCTCTGCCTCTTGAGATTTCATCAGGTGCACTGCTTCTATCTGCTTGCATGATCTACCCAGCCTTGCATGCCATAGCCCGGGGAATGCAGGGTCTTGATGGAGGCACCTGGCAGGCCAGTGCTAGCATACAGGAAAGAAATTAGAGCCAGAAGAAAAAAAAGAAGAGCAATGCACTAAAAATATACTGGACTTCCTAAGGATTTATCTCAATCGGATGAAAAATATGAAGCACATATCATCTCTCTCAGGTCGTCCATGATGAAGAGCAGCATGCATGTGCCATAGACTGTCCATCCTGACGAGTTGATCAGAAATATCAAAATATGTACAATAATCAT